GAGGATTTTGTTGTGGAGCTGGGGGTTGTTGAGCAGGGTTCAGCAAATTAATGAGGGGGTCACCAGGATTGTTTCTAGCTAAAAGCTGAGCCAATACTAGCTGAAAGACACCAAACTGCTGTTGCATGGTAGCAAGCTGAGCTGCAACTACGTCTTGGTTGGCGGTGGAAGTTGAGTTGTGAGCTGAGGTATGAGATTGGTTTTCATCTCTTCCTTCTGCATGATCAACAAGAGGGAACATAGTTGGGAGTTGAGGTGGAAGCTGAGATGGGAGCTGAGGTGGGAGCAGAGGTGGGAGGTTGTTGGGGGGTTGACCTTGCCCAAGAGGCAGAGATGAATTGCCAGCTCGGACTGATCAAGTGTTAACCATGATGAAAGAGCAACAAGAAAGCTTTCAGTTCAGATTCCCACAGACGGTGCCAAATGTAATTGCACCAAACTAGAAGTCCTTCTTCAGTCCGCGTCTACACTCCGGATTGACCTGCAAAGCCCCGAGGTGGAACTCGGGGTAGACATTCCGATGCTTAAGTTAGCAATAATCGGGGCTACCTTTAGAGCGGAGATAAAAAGAGCTTAGGGTTGGTTTCAATTCTTTTTTTGACGTGGCCCTTGGGGGGTATTTATAGGATCCAATGAGGAACCCACGTGGCATGCCAAGCAAGATAATCAGAGCCTGACGTGTCTATCCAGACAATTATTCTGGGACCAGGAATTTGAGAGGTATTTAGATGCAAGGACGTCCACTATACTTGCTGTGCAGCTCATCATAAGGAATCAGGTGCAGGCATGCTTATTGTCACTGTCATGCAGCTATTTGAGCGAGAAGCTTTGGATTTATCCTTCACTTTGATCATAAAGCAATTACTGTAATAGTTCGAGGCTTGGCACCTCGGACCTATCCTTACAAGAAGGAAAGAACACCCCCATACAAATTACTGTAAATCCCCTTCTATATCATGGAAAAAGAAAACAGTATGGTAATTTTTCCCCCTCTCACCATTCGATCATCTTGCTTTTCTCTTCAACCATTGATCCGAAAATGCCCAGCACTTGACCCATTTCCCCTTTTTTCAACCGACCGGCTCTGGGCTTCTGCAGACAGAGCAAAGGACAAGGATGAGCGGTTTAAAACATTAGGGGTATAATTTTAGTATAAGTTTAGATTGGGGGCATTAAATAATAGCTTGCCTTTTTACATTTTTAAAAATAAGATAATAATGCACAGAAAAAATCACCATTTATTTCGCCTAAGATTTTTATGTCACCACTTTCTAGATCCCAATGCCGGTGATGAATATTTTAACACTCAACTCTTTTGCTCATTTGTTCTCATGCAAGTTATAACTGATGTCATTGTAATTTGCTTTCTACTGGTTGTTTAAGTTGTACATTCTTCTTGTGGCCATCAACAGGATAGCTGGATGATTAGCCCAATTAACTGGAGCAGCGGGTAGAAACATGATTGTTGATAATACTTTTGGATCATTTGCTTTGCTAACACTATTTGCATTAGGTGGTTTTGTCCTGTCACGAGGTACGATTAGTTCTGGTAAAAAATCAATCTTTGTTTAATCAAAAGATCAAATGTTAAAGAGTATTCTACTCATTTTTATGTTTGATAGCACAGATCAAATCAAGCAATGGTGGATATGGGATAATCGGATTTCACCTCTGATGTATGGACAGAATGCTATGGTGGTGAATAAGTTTCTTGGGAGCAGTTGGAGACGTATAATATGCTTTGGATTAATCATGAATACAAATCTGCTTTTGCTTCCTGATAATTAGCTAATGGCCTCTTTATCTCTCATTTAATAGATTCTTCCAAACTCAACAGAACCTCTTGGCATTGAAGTTCTAAAGTCCTCTGGATTCTTTACTGATGCATATTGGTAATGGCTAGGATTTGGAGCATTGCTTTGATTTGCACTGTTATTCAACTTTTGCTTTACTCTAGCTTTTGCTTTCTCAGCCGTGAGTATCTTCATCTTCTCATATTTTGCCTTTTTGAAGTAAGAACTCATCGTTACTTTCCATTCTATACGGCATTTGAGAAGCCTCAAGCTGTTATGCTAGATGAACCACCAGGCAGTGAACAAGCTGAGGAGAAACTAGTGGAGCTATCCGGTTATCAACCTACAAAAGTAGCTCTAGATACAAAGCCGAAGCTGGTGGAGATCAAATTAGAAGAAGAACCACATCATCCGAGCCCTCATCTGTGTCGGAGGCAGCTTTTGAGGCTATCCATGCAAAGAAAAGAGGAATGATTCTCCCTTTTGAGCCCCATTCAATCACCTTCGATGAAATCACATATTCTGTTGGCATGCCACAGGTAACAAAAATGTTCACAAATAGAAGTTACAGCTAAAAGTTAGATTCTAATCTAATTCTTGAGGGTGCATTTGGTTGAATTGAACTTTGTAGAAATTGAAAAAGCAAGGTGCCGGTGAAGATAGATTAGTGTTGTTGAAGGGTGTGAGTGGTGCATTTAAACCCAGAGTTTTTAGGTTGGTACACATTTTAATTCAATATATTGCATAATATATTGATTAAAAAATAATTATTTTTTGATTTAAAATTAAAAATATACAAATTTAAAAATATAAATATGCATACAAGATGCAAGAACCAATTGAATTAGTTATACTAAAATTATATTTTTAATAATTAAATCAAGTAATATCAAAAAATATGTTAAATCAAATATGTATTAATCATTTTCTCTATTAGAATTGGGAGCGAAACCAACGAGGACATTGTCTGGTTGTGGACATGTTGGGTAATAATTCATTCTTATATCCTGAAAACCCTCTTCAAAAGTCTCCTCCATTTCGGTGGTTTCCATAGCAAGAGCTTTAGCCATCTTTCTAAAGATAGTCATGGCTAGAATTTTCAATTCTAATGAGTAGTTCCAATGCTTCTCTGCATGAGGAAAATGAGAGTTAAAAAATAGAAATTAATTTACCCACAATCTTATTTTATAATAGTGGAATTTCAGTGATATGACTTAATATTATTGACTTTTTTTACTTAAGGAGATGCATAAATTAATGTATATTTAATTACTCTTTTTATGACTAAGTGACTATTATGAGATTTCGTTGTAATAAAACCAAAAACTAGCTCAAAGATAAATTTGAGAGAGGCATAAGTAGAAAGGACTTGAACGGAAGTGGGAGCTTAGGGAACAGGTGGGGCTTTCTCAAACGGGGTAGTTGGGTTGTAATCAAGAAGAGATAAGCCCAATCAAGCTTTTGCTCCTCCGGTACCAACAAAGAGCTGCCCAAATCCTTCTACTTCTCTTGGATACCGCCAATATTTTTTCTTCTTTTCCATTGGGAGTTTAAAGAAACTTTGAACCTCTTTCTTTACTTTCTTCAACAAAAGAGATCGAGCTTACTCCATGATTTACTAGCTGCAGTAATTTAGAGAAATTGATAAAAGTCATGAATTTGAAAATATGCGATTGAATTGGAAAAAGAAAAAATCATTTTAAAAATAAAATCTTGAGGGGTATTTAAAATAATGAAAAAGTCTATACTCTATTGTTCAATGTTTGATGATTATACAGTACTATGACTGAATGTTCCTGATGATGTAAAGATGAAAACTCAAGTGAAAATGAACATAAACTCAATGATTAAACTTGAGAAATGATGAAATACATAAACACTGCTGAAATATATGAACAATGTCTAATATATTGGTAGAAAACAGCAAGAGACATACACACATATCAATTTCAAAGAAAAGAAACTTATACATAAGAGTTGCTGAAATAAAACAAAGTTACAAACTGCAAAAGAAATTGCTACACCACTAAGCAAAACAAACTAATTGTAATTGCCACATTAAGAGATTTGATCTCACACGCTAACACTCCTCCTTGAGAGCAAGTCTGGTAACTCCCTCTCAACATCTCAAAACTCTGTTTTGGCAAAGACTCAGTAAGAATTTCAACAAGTTGAACATTTGAGCTACAATGAAGCAACTGAATTTGTTTGTTCTTGATGTATTGCCTGATTACATGATACTTGACATGAATATGCTTAGTCCTCTTGTGCTGCACAGGATTACTAACAATTGCAATAGCTAACATATTATCCACATAAATCAAACTAGGACCAAGTTGAGGTTGTCCCATATCAATCAACATTTTCCTCAACTAGATTGCATGATTTGAGGCTTCCACAATTGAAATATATTCAATTTTAGTAGTGGATTGAGCAACTACATCTTGCTTAAATGAGTTCCAACAAAAAACACTAAAACCAAACTTGAATAAATAGCCAGTAGTACTTCTTTCATCATCTAAGCTACCAACCCAATCACTATCAGAGTACCCCACCAAGGAACTAGAATCAAATTTCTCAAACCAAAGTCCATAATCTGAAGTACCATTCACATACCTCAACACCCTTTTTGTAGCAGCAAAATGAAGTTGAGTAGGAGAACTCATGAATCTAGATATAAGACTAGCAGCATACATGATATTAGGCTTTGTTGCAGTAAGATAAGGCAAACTGTCGACTATACTCCTGTATTGTGAAGCATCCACATATGCACTTCCATCCTTTTTGGACAATTTTTCATGCAAAACAAGTGGAGCAGAAACTAGTTTGCGATTGTCCATACTAAATTTTTCAAAAGATCTAGTGCATATTTCTTCTATGATAAGAAAAAACCATCACTACATTGCTTAATTTCCAGACCAAGAAAGAAGCTCATTTCTCGAAGATTTGACATTTCAAAGCCTTCTTTCATCATAGACGTAAAATGCTTCACATACTGAATATTAGAACCAGTAATCAGTATATCATCAACATAAATTGAAACCAAAAGCTGTACATAGATCTAGCAATTTTTTACTCAACCCACTAACCCACCTATTACCCGCCAGTTTAAAACGGGTTAAGGTTATATATTTATGACTTGTGACCTGTTCATGACTAGTTAAGAGAACCCGACGGGTCATAGGTCAAGAACAAGTTGACCAATCGAGTTAATGGGTTTGAACGATTCACCTGTCTAAAAATTTAAAAATTTTTAATTTATTATTTATTTATTTTGTTTTCCAATTCCCAATCCCACCTAAACCTTTAATAATTGACTAATTTTTCCTAATTAATTAATTGATTCTCTTAACTCATCATTTTCTAGAAGTAAAAAGGTTTAAGTACCATTTTGGTCCCTCAACTTTTCACTTTGGCACCAAAATTGTCCCTCACCTTTAAAAAGTACCAAAATTATCCTTTGACTTTCATTTTTGGTACCAAAATGGTCCTTCCGTCAGTTAAATGACAGATGGCACGTTAACTTGCCAACAAATCACTGGATTTTTTTAATTTTAATTACGTGTAAATTCCATGTAAGAAAATTTAATATTTT